TGGAGCGGGGCCAAAAGTTCAGTTAACGAAAATAGTTTGAAGGCTGCTCAAACAGGAGAAGAAAACTAAAAATATCTGAGGTAGTGCAACCACGTTCATGTTGAACTTAAATGAATAATGAACATTGGATATTTTCCTATTCTGAGTGGTAAAATCGATTTTAAGACAACTCGCAGGAGGTTATATAAAGTTCGATTTTGAAACATTGTGGCAAGCTTTTTTTTAAATTATATTAAAGTTGAACCAGCCTTTTTAAAAGTTTATAAGTGATATGTGCATTTAATCTGATTTATTCCAAAGGTTGTTGTTGTTAAAGTATGTCATTTTATTTCAAATAATTTGCTAGTATTCCCTGGCTTGAACTTAATAAAATCTCAGTTTCTCATAAACATTTTTTTGTAATTAATTAAGCAACTCACCTCCCTTCCCCCGAGAGTACCACTCAAACGTGGCCGCAGTAAATAGCTTTACGAATTGCAACAATTTATGCCTAATTATATTTAAATTTGACAGGCCATTGGCTTTGCCTTTGATGCCGAATAGGACGCCATTGACCCTAACCCTCGTCCCTCAGCCGCTCCCCCGCGAAAAGTCAAGATGTCGGCTACGCCCATCTTCCAAATGAAAACGCAGCCCAGCCCCCAACAACGACAGACAGAAATCGGAAAGTGGCGGCAGCAGCTGATAGCTGTAATCCGACGAGCTTAGACCACCCCAAACCACCTCAGAGAAACCCTACTTGGCGTTTTTTCCAGACCCCGACGGAAGGAGAATGGCCCGGCAGTAATTCACACAATAAGCCGCAGACAGGCAGCCAAGGGAAAAAACAACAAATTTAATGATGCGATCGGGGGCATAAACAGACGAGATACCCATTAAATAATTATAAAATGGGGGAAATTATGAAAGTGGTATAAAAATAACTTTTTTCAAATTACATTCTTCTTTATATACTTTATACTAATACAAATAAATTATTTTATTATTCTGGGACCAACCAATTTTGGGAAAGCCGTTTTAATAAACTGATAAGGTTTTGACTTATTCTTTAACCCATCCCATTTAAAGATATTAAATTCTTGTTAAACCAAAAAGCCGATGATACCCTTGAAAAATGCAGGCATAAATACATGATGTGGAAAGCAGAACGGGCAGAAATGAGAAAAGAAAATTTCCAGAAGCTGGCAGCTTGTGGCACGTTCCACCCGCACAAGCTGACGCACACACCTGGTCATGGCTAAAGAGGGGGTGGCAGACTTGTGGCATGCCTCAAAGGCAAATGTGGCTCAGACAAAAACGCCAAGAGAGACATTTCGGCATGCCAAAGCATAGAATGTAAGAAATGTAAAATAAAAAAGTACCCACTGGAACTTTGCTAGCTCACCTCTTTAACACGTAAGCGACAATTGCGTCCTGCAGTTGCATTTGCAGATACAGATATATCAGCAACAGCGGCAAGGAAAATGGAGAGAAAAATCAACCCATGAGTCATAAATTCACCTCGACGCCTCCACTTTTTTTCGTTTATTTTTGCAGACACAGAAGGGGGTAAATGCAGCCAGCCAGACGGGGAAGAGATAATTTTAATGTATGCGGCGTGGCTTACACAATGTATCTGAGGGATACAAAACAATTAAAGGCAGCCGGCAATCGCTTTAATTGTGATTTTATGCAAATATTCGCCAAGCCCAAGATTCCGATAGGTTGTCTGTGTCGATTGAATTAAATTTTCGACCCGAGCTTAACTCGCTTTATGGAATATTTATTCGGCTTGCAGAGCGCCTACTTTTCTGACTCATCCTCGCCTCGGAGTTTTTGAATATTGTATATTTTTGCTGCAAATATTTTCCCTATGAATCAGTTGAACAGGGGAGCGGTGCTCAAGCTGTATATTGTGCTGCCTGACTCGTTTCAGCTCTCTACATTTGCCGCACTTGCAATTTACTTGAAATTGTCTTCGAAGGAACATAACAATAGCAGCTGCGTAACTACCCCCATTTCTAAACTTTTACTTGCTATAGTTGCAGTTTGCAGATTGCAGTTTGTGATCAAGTTGTAGCACGCTTAGAACTTGGAAGACTTTGATTGGCAGGAAACTGAGAAAATTTTTCAAGCGTTTTCCTTTTTATGAGTGAACCAAATTATTTTTAATTTCAATAATCATAATTATTATTTTTCAGAAGATTGCAAAGATATGAGTTTTTTCTCACTTGTCTATTTTCGTATAGAAAGGTATGAATAAAAAAAGTTATAAAACCAGTTTTTAAAATTAATTTAAAATTTTGATAAAAGTTGGTTTGTTCTAAGTCAGCATATTTTAATTAATTTTCATTTAGCCTACAAATTGGTTTTCCCTTAAAATAGAAAAATTTTGGCAATTTAATTAAAGCTCTCGGATATTTCTGGTTTCCACTCTGAGGCAATCAGAGCACCCACCTGACCATAGTTGTATATCCGCAATTGGCCAGCCTCAGGCATGACCATGCCACAAGCGAAGCAAATATCTCAAACAAAGGGAACTATTTATGTATTTTTGTGTCAACCACAGAAAGTAAAACTCTTTCCCTTTTTCATGTTCCTTATCTTGCTATTTTGGTAAAGTCAAAAGTAGAAAGTTATCCTCTGATAAATGTATATTTATTTCTTTGCCATTTTTGTGAATATTTGCTTTGCTCAACATGTGTCCGGAATGCAAAATAATTAAAGAAAATATTCTTTGTTTTTATTTCATTGGCTTTGCGACTTACACTGGTTTGATCATGAACATTTTCCCCCGCAATGAATTTCCATTCAATTTGCTTAGAGGGGAAAAGGATATGATCTTCCTTGGTTGCCAGGGTAATAAAACATAACAAGTTGTCACAAGTGTGACACTGATTGAAATTATAAACTGTCACCAGATGCGTTGATACAAACATGCGAGTGGATGTCGTCCCATGTATATTATTTGAGATTTTTGCATACAAATTATGCCAAAGTCTGTCTCCTGACGACAACTCCAGCAAATGTATTCCAAATATTTGCCCGGTGAAAGTGTTGGCGATGCGGGGACGAAAGCGGGGCGATATAGGACGAACGTGGGGGGAATTTCGGGTCCGGACAAAGTTTAAGCCTGCTACTGTGCGATAGAAAAAATATTGTTGCGTATTAAGTCTGGCTAGCAGCGGTAGTTGGTAGTTTTAGTCCCAGTTCTAGTGACAGATGCACTGGAGTCCATGCGGACTCCATATTTACCCCTATCTCCCTTTTTCCGACAGTACAAACTTTTAATTTGTGCGTAGCCAGCGAAAGTATATGAAAAATGGCATGAAAACAAAAGTTGCACATAAAAGGGGTAAGAAGAAGGGACATCAGCCAGTAATTGAGGCAAACTGTGAAATACGAGTACATGAAGACTCTGCAAAAGCAGGCCAAACAAATTATAAAGGCGAGAACGACGGGGGAATATTGGGGTAGATCAGGGTACAGGGATTGTAAGATAATTATGTAATTGCGTAAAAGGGTAAAATATTTCTCCGATGAAGCTAAAGTATATAATGTCCTCGCAGTGATGATAAAATTGCATTTCCAAAGCAGTTATAGCACTTTTTATTCCATAAATCTGTTGGTCGACTACAACGGGTAAAGACTTCCAAAGCTCTAAAATATATATACTCTTTGAAATTTTTTAATGAAACTTGTTTGCAGGCTCAATTATTGGTTAAATCAAACTTATATACTTAATCCACTTGGAGGTCTTGCGGGCTTAGTAAATTCGAATTAACATTAATCAATCGATTTTTCCGTTCGTTAATTTATTAGTATAGGGAACAGGAGCAAATTCTAGGAAACAAAAGCCAAAATGTTCTACATTAAAAAATAAAGGAGTTCTGAAGAAGGGAAAAAGAGAGTATGTATGGAGACGACTAAGTAAACAAGCAAGTAAACTAAATTTCAATTAGTGAGTACCGCCCATAAAAAATAAAATACTACAAAAAATTCGGTGGAGGCGGACGAAGCGCTACCAAAAAAAAAAAGAACTCTACTATATTGCCCCAAAGTTGGCTTCGGCTTAAAGTTGACAATTAAAAAGTTTTTCAAAGCTTTTTGTGTTTTGTCGTTGTTTCTTTTGTTGTTGTTCTGCCTTTGCTATCAGTTGTTGATGCTTCTTCTTGTCTAAATTAGTTTATTTTATACCCTAACAGGGGTACACTCACAATTTGGTCTAAAAAGCAGGTCATATAGCTCTTAAATACCTATTTTACGATTTTTCTTTGATATAATTTTATGAAATAAATAAATTTTTTGTTGTGTTTAAATGTGTGTCGTGAATTTATTATTATTTTTTTTTTTTCAATAAATGAAAAGGTTCTCATTTGGTTTCTTAAATTTGAAGTACTTTAATTGAGCGATGGTAAAGATTCCAAAACTGTGTTTCTAAAGAATTATCTTCCAAGAGTCTGGTAAATATGACAATTATATCTGTTTAAAACAAAATTGGTAAAACTAAAACACTAATTTATAAATAGTTGAAATTTTGTAAAATTGATATCTAATGACGTAATATAAACGGGTTTTAGAGTTCAGATGACTGCATACAGCACATATAAACATAAAGTTAAGACTGCAAGTGTGTAAAAACTTCGTCGTTATCTTTTTTTTTTTTTTGTTAAGAAATATAGACAAAGTTTGTCAAAAGCAAAACTGGGCAAATTAGTTTAGTTTTCTGGTAATTTTTTTGTTGCTTTGAAATGATTTACATGTTCTGGGTTCTAGAATCAAATTGGAGTTGTCTCCGGTTCTGGTTGGCAAAATGAAGAATGCCTCAACAAGTTGTTGGATTTTTTTTGGTTGTTGGGGGAGATTGGTGTGTTGTTCGGATTCTCGGATCGAATTAAAGTAACTTTTCACATGCGACACAAGCCAGTTTGCGACGGCAACGTCGACGGCGGCAGAGAAAGCCGCGACATGTGGGCGGCAAGACACACACAGATACACACGCACACCAGTGCAGAACTCACCTCGGCCGAAACGCTGCGACTGCGCTGCTTCTGCTACCGCTGCGGCGGCTTGAAACTGGTTTTTTTATATGCTATATATGTATATATATATATAGTATTTCTGGCTTAGCTTCTCTTCTTGTCGATATGTTCGCGTATATGTGTTGCTTTGGTATTTCTCCTCTTTTTTTTCCAATATATATGCTTTTTTATGGCGTTGCGAAACAGTAGGCTTTTGCTGAAGCGTTGTTGTTGTTTTCGGCCTGTGGGTTCTGTTGGCCCATATGAGACAAGCATTCAATTAAGCTCCACAATTGGCCAGCAAACAAAAGAAATCACACAAATAAACACTGCTTCACTGTTTCACCCATACGAGCACAGATAACCTGTGCGCTTCACTTGTCGCGCGCGCTTTTCTTCAGCTTTTCCTCGAGTGTGGGTGTAGGCAGACGGGCGGGGGGTGGTCGGCGGCGACGGGACGGTGGGCGGGGCTAACGGAACGCCAAGCGGCTAGCTTTTGGGTTCGAAGTTCGTAGCTCGAAGTAGCGATTCTCCAACGATTTCCCCAGACGACAAAAGCGCGCACACATCCGCCCAGCACAAAGTTTATAAACAAACTGAAACTGAAGCCGAGCATCGACGCCGAGCGCCAATGCCAGCGGCGCCGCGGCAGAGGGGCGGCAGTGGGGCAGCGGCGGCGGCAGAGCGGCCCCACAATGGCAGCCGGCTTCAAGCAGGTTCGACGGGAGCCCCCAACTCAAACATGTTCGAAGGTGCGATGGGGGAGGTGGCGCTTTCCTTTGAATGCATACGATTGATATTAAAAAAATTTAAATCAAATATTAAATCAGGATTTATTTGTTTTTTGTTTTTATATGGTACAGTTACTAATTCATGAAGCACTATTTATGAGGTTCATATAAATATTGAGATATACATATTCCATAATTAATGTTGCAATTGACTGCAATGGATTATCAATAACTGGTTGTAGATTTAAATTAAATCGGTCGTTATTTTAAGGTAATGCTTCTAATCACTAATTGTTTAGATATTACAAAAATGACTAAGTCAGAGAAAAATATTTGAGTCCTTTATATTGAATTTCTTTAAAAAATTGTTTTGTGCAGCTATTAATATAAGCATGAATAGATAGTCCACTGTATTATACCTACAAATCCTTAAAATATAACTACTTTTATTTAAAGAACACAGTGCTGACTTAATGATTTAATGAAAATTAAAAACAAGTTAAATTTAAAGAACTCATTCTGTATTTCGAATAACTAAATCACCCCTCGTTTTGGCTTGAGTCAACCAACCTGTTTGAGTTCGAAGTGTTGCGTTTAAAGTAGGTTCCACAACTCTTGGAACCACAGACCCATAATGCAAAATACAAGTTTCAATATAAAGGTAACGAGGGTTGAAGAACGGCTGTGATCGAACATATTTGATTTTACAAAAAAAAAACAACTTCTGAATTATATACCAGAAGCTTTCCCTTTTTTCTTTTATACCACTTACATTTCATTTTCATTTCTCTTCGTCGCTTGATTGTTTGTTGATGTCATGTCATGAAGCTTTTTTTATTTTTTTGCTGCTGCTGACGTTGCTTCTGTCACCGATGTTGTTGTTGCTGTCGTCGTCGCTAAGTCAATTTTAAGGTTTATTTGAATTTCATTTTTCCTACTTTTTCTTTTACGTATTTTCGCTTTTTACTTTGTCTTCGCTCGTTGCTGCCGATATTTTGTAGTGTTTTATGTTAATTTTTAAGGCGCTGTTGCGCCCATGTTTGCCCCGTGTCCCTCTTTTCAGCTCCCTCTATCCATCCCGCTCGCTAACATAGTTGCTAATGAGGTTGGCTTTATGCCCGACCATACTTATTGGTTTTCCAAGTTTTTTCCCGATCTGCCTCCGCATCCTTTATGCTACTTGCCTGTTGCTGTGCTTTTGTTTGCTGCAAACTAATAACAAATTAATTTTGATTTGAATAATTCATGCTCGGCTTAACACTCACAATTGGTAGTGCACCAACACACACGCCTGAACAGAAATAAATTAGCATTTTGGGCTGGGATAAACACATTTAACACGAAATCTGCAATTACCTCACATGGAAATCCGCTTTGGTTTGAAATCGAATTTGAATCAAATTCACATATCTTATTGCCCCATTGACCGTAAAAAATACAGAGGAAACTTTCTAAATTTGTATTCTTACTTGGAGTTCCTGTAAGTAAAACATATTTGATTATAAAAGTTCACTCGTAAGCTATCCCAATTTTTATTTAAACAGAGTTTTAGATTTCATAGTAGAGACTTTTCATATGTTTTAATTGGATACCAGAAACTCATCATAAAATGATTCTTATATCTATACAAAATACAGCATTTTCCCTAAAGTTACTGACTGCTTACTAGGTAAGTAAGAGATTGATATCCTTGCAAGTAATTGAGCCTTTAAAAAATATTAGTTTTACTTATGGCCCTATATTCTATGCTTAATTCAACCGGTTCTTGTTATTAATGTCCGTCCGTACTCTAAATCAATGATCTGATATCTGACTTAATTCGGATTAAAGCAAGTCTGCTTCCCGTTCTTACTTTTTTCCTTAAGCAGGCAATCAGCAATAACAACAGGAAGTTGAGAGGGGGCAAGGTGAAAGAAGAAAGTCTGAGACCCCCGATTCGCTCCTTTCAAACCTCCATCCTTTCAGTACGGTTAATGATGATGCCACACACGTGTTTCTGCCTCTGTGTTTGTGCGATTACGTTGCTGTGTGTGACGAGGATGCAGCTAAGCTCCAGTAGGATGCACTCATGCAGCTTGATTGGCCCCCATGCTTAACCGCCCAGCCTCCCTCTTTCACCACCCCCTTGACTTCCTTGCTCCCCGCCCCGCCCCCGCACCAGCCCACTCAACGACAGTCAAAGCTAAGGAAGATAAACAGGTGGGACATAAACTGAGTGAGCGGTAGAAAATAACATCCTGTGCTTTATATTTCACTTTTTTTTGCCTTGCTAAATAAATGGGTTAGTGTTACCAAGGACACCTGAGATACAGGGAAAATGCAGAAGAAAAATGCAAAATTGGGCTGGTAGGCATAGCAACTGATGTAGTGGGAATATTGGGAAGGGAAAATTGATTGCATACAGCTGAAAATAAAATAATTAAGAAGCCATAACAGATGAAGGGTTTTATGAAAGAAAAGTAATTGAAAAAAAAACTTAAGTAACAGAAGTGAAATCAAAACGAATTTAAAAACGAAGCTCAAGAAAGTAAGCAGTAATTAAGGTCTCAAGCCATAAATGTTATAGTTTTGTCAGTAATTTAGGGTTTTCCTTACTTTTCTTATTATTCTCCGAAAACAAACAATGCCATTTATATTGAAATCCTTTTAAGCACCCTCTATTTGAATCTTGTCAAATGGTTTGGACAATCCACATATGAAATGGCTTGATTCGCTGTTGTTGCCCCTAGCAATCCATTTAAATTAGCTATCATTATTTACGAACGTTGCCCGCGACTTCTTCTAAGCCCTCTGTTCACGCTGTTGTCGCACATTTGTGGGCTAATTAGTTGGGCCGCAGTTTGCAGCCAAGTCTGGCAATATCATAGTGCCGGCTAACTGATAAAGCCCTGCCTCTGCCCACAAAATGCCATCATCATCATCGATGGCGCCGCAACTGTCAGTGCAGTTTGGGCCATGATTTATGCCTGGATTTACCGGGGGGAAAGTCAAAATAAACATTTCGGCCCAAACTGAACTGAACCGAAAACCAGACAAAGCCAAACAAAACTATTGCTAATGAGGTCCGCAATGCGCGAGGCAAATAAATTCGGGAGGGAGCTTGACCCCTAACTTCCAAACTCACATTTACGCATTCATCGCTCGGCGAAATTTCACCCCTTTTTCCCAAAAAAAAGGCTTCTCCGCTAATGACCAAAAGCGGATTTCGCATTGCAGGCAATTATTATTTCTTGTTCTTCCTTTTTTGTTTTAAGCATAAATTAAACTAAGCCGCTCAAGTGGTGACCCCACAAAGCACCCACCAACCCCTATTACCCTTTCCCCAAAACAGAAAAAAAGACTCCTCCCAAAAGTAAGTAAAACCCGGTGAAGTGTTTCAGTTTCGTACATTTCTTGATTCACGGCTAATGCGAGGATATCAAATTTAATTTTGCGTAATTAATGTCGCCCAAACTTTCATTCGCAACCCTTCCTCCTCGGGACAGACTTGACCGAGGTCCAAAACATGACCATAAGAAAATTCATTAATATGATTTAGGCCCACAGAATAAACAACAACAAACACGTGAGGCCTAAAAACGTCCAAAACAAACCGAAAAACAAGGCAAAAAACGAAAATGATTTTGTATTTATGTTTTCGGGTGCCTCATCGTGCATGACTGAGCAAGGAATACAAGAGTTTACGGGAACAAAACCCTTTTGTAAAAACACGCAAACTGAAGGAAGAATGTCTGACGTGCAAAAAGAAGGATATTGTGAAAGTGGAGAGCAGAAATCTGAAAAACATTGTCACCTACAAGTCGTTAAGGTCTCTAGATTTTAAAACTTCGTATGCCAAAACACTCTTTGCTAATATTTTAAAACATAAATTAGGACTAAGATTGTAAATTTCAGCAGTTAGTAAATAAATTATTATACTTTGCGTATAGGAAGGATATATTTCCAATTATAACTATGATTCTTACTTGTTGCAATTAGTTTTTCAGCTTGTTGGCTCCCATTCAAACATTTCTTACTCCAACGCAAAGTTACATATTTATGTAAGCAGGAGCACTTGGCCCCCAGGTAAAATTGAATATGGTTGCAATATACTTTGTATAAAGTATTTTTTTTTTTTTTTAATATTTTTGAATATGAAATTCAACTAATTAATAATTGCTGTAGGATGCATGTTAGCATAACAGGGAGCTATAGTATTTATAAAACTCTACCCCTTTGATACCTGGTTAAGCTTCAGGGAACTTGGTTATCCAGCCACCTGGTGAAGTTATGGTAAAGTATAAAAAAAGGTTTTAATCAGCACGTGGCATGCATGCTGCGTGCGTCCATGTGGGTGTGCCGATGGCTTGTTGTTTTGGCGCTTGGCTATCTATCCGCTCGATAGCGAATATTGCCTGCTCCGGGCAGACTCAGTCGCGCTTTTCTCATTTTTCCGACTGCCTGGCAGCCTTGTTTATTTGCATTGGCTGCGGCGATGGATTTATGAGCGAAGCCATTGAACTTGCGGCTAGCTATCGCTCAGTTTACCTTCATGGGGCACCTATACCAGGCTATCACTCCTCCGTGCCTCCTTAGATGAGTGTGGTTCCCAAACAAATATGCCAAAGGCACGCACATAGCCTAAGCCACTCACTGGGGCCAAAACATCCACTACCACGCCACCTAGTCCCGCCCCAGGCCATGGCACAGCCCTTTCGGCCAATTTTGACATTTGCGTTTTGACGAGAGCGGCGTATACGCAATTTCTGACTCTGACTCTTTAAGTCCTGTTTCAGCTCACGCTGCTGACCACGTGACCAGAAAATTGTTATCGCTGCCATTCCCCTTAACTTGGGCAAAAGTTTCCAATTTTA